TTGATATGCATGCACACCTCCGGCAAATTCGGAGACGTTCTGTGAAAAAATCAACGCTTCAAGTGCTTCCGGTAAGGAGAAAGCCGGGTCTAAGAAGAAGAAGAAGAAGAATATGATGACACCAAATCGTGAAATCGCGTATGAGCGAATCTCTCGCGTGGACGACTGAAGGTGCGTACTGAGGTCTTGGGGGACATGTATAGGTAGATATTGGCCCGTTAGACTATTGCTAGTATGTTTTGAAGGCCTAGGGAGTGATTCTCACCGAGATTTTAGTGGTTTTGTACGCGGATCACGTGAGATTTCACTCGTGTCGTCCCTATATAGAGAGTCTACCGACTCTCTGATATAGAAGATAGAGGTGGGGACTTGCAACTGAGACAGAGCTAGAGTGCTACTGCCTTGGAGAGATGTTGTCGTTGGTCACAATGTTTGCTGCACGTAACAAGTAAGGAGGCGTTGATATTTAAAGCCATGGGGGTTAAACTGCCTTTTATTATGAGAATGGAATGGAGATAGATGTATAATAAGCGTGCAATGATGACATGCACTGTCTATGCACAATGTGGCAAGTTTAGAGACAAGGAAGACTGATAATGGTTGTCGTAAACCTTTTATAAAACTTTCCTTGCAATAAACTCCTATTGTTCCAACAGCCACAAAAGTTATTATGGCTGGAATAAGAGCATTACATTATTATATCTCATCTGCATATATGGAATATACAAACCTGCTATGAAAGCTGCCCTGACTTCATAGAAAATAAAATAAGCAATTATAAAGCTCAGCATTGAAAACACAAAGAGAACAACAATCACTCTCTTTCGAGACCCTGCAAAAAGAAAAATTAATTACTCAAGGGTAAGAGGGTAAAGAAAATCTGTAGAAATGTCTGTGTGGACGGCGGCAAACCACACCGTGTTCTATGAGACCAATATATCTACCTACATTATTGTTGGTTTTCTCACCCTCAGATGGTGTATCTACTACATCGTCATTATCTGTGGAATCGTTACCCTCGTTGCCTGTGTATATTGTTAATGCAAATAATTGTGAGCCAACCAACACTACCATAACTCACCTTTTTCAGCCAAAGCCCCTCTTTCTCTATTACCACTTCTTTGTCTCAGCTGTCCACCTGTTGAAATAGACACGTATAATGAGCAATGACATGCATTTATCCATCCTCACCTGATGAAGATGGCACAGAATGAGAGGTTGCATGTTCACCTGACGATGTAGGCGTGGACACAAGTGGAGGTGCAGGAGGTGATGAAACATCTGTACGAGGTATGGCTTGGTCAACGGCTAGGCACCGTAACGAGTAGTTTCTTAGCTATACCTAATTACAAAGGTATTGCTCACTTATTACTTACCAGATAATTTTTTATTGATACTTTTGGACAGGGTTGATGCTAGTCTTAAATTATCGCCTCCTGCCTTGTGACCAATGGCATCCACCAGTCTTCTCCCTGGACCCTAGACAGACCCTGGAGCCTCTTTTCCCAGGTACATTACAACTCCGCGTTTAGCGCCGAGGGTTAGTGCTTTTCATTTGAAGTTGGACTATACTATGTAGTGGTCAGTCGGCTCGATCACGAGACATGACTAGCGGGTATTGGAATTATGTCATACATAATTGAGTAGTACTAATTATGGTAGATCACTCATGTAAGCCCTAATTATAGCCACATTACAGTAATACTACGTAACTCTTTCTGAGTGTCCCTTCGTCTTCTGCCACTCGCCTGACCCTCTGGTCTGACAATAATGCAATACCGTAGTGGTATACACTCTAACTGGACGTAGCTACTTCACTACCCCATGTGTATGGTTCTTGACCTCTATAAAAGGACACATCACTACTATGCACTTTTTTGTCGGCATATTTTGTGTCTAAAGATAGCTACGTTCCACTTTAGCTCTAACATACCGAGTTGATCCTCCGTCTGTGAACTAGCATCAATTGTGGCTGTGGGAAAACCAGTGAAGAATTTAATCATGTATCCCAAGAGTTAGCTCACCTGCAGAAGCAGCAACAGGCCTGGGTGTTTCAGGAGAGTCCAGATGGATATCAAACTTAATTCCGCTGGTGGCTCCTCTAAAAGCAATCTTACCACCACTGAATGTGGCATTCTCTTTGGATGAGACAAAGAACATCTCAAATCGGGGAGGATAGAGGTCGTCTTTCTCACGCTTCTTCATAGTTTTAGCAGAAATTTTCCCTTTTACAAAAAAGTCCACATCACAGCGTGTGTGCTGGAATAGCAGCCGGGGATGTCGTCAATACAATGGGTTTCCAGTATAGTGGAGGAGTTGCTTCGAAGGCTAGTCTTCTGATATGTAAGTGAGCACATGAGTGGACTTTTTTGTAAAGGGAAAATTTCTGCTACAAACTATGAGAAGCGTGAGAAGACGACCTCTATCCTCGATTTGAGATGTTTCTTTGGTCTCTCCAAAACGAGACATGCCACACTTCAGTGCTCGCTAGGGTAAGATTGCTTTTAGAGGGAGCGCACCAGCGGAGGATTAAGTTTGTCTGATCCTGATCTGCTCGTCCTGAAACACCCAGGCCTGTTGCTCGCTTCTGCAGGTGAAGGCTAACTCTTGGGATTACATGATTAAATTCTTCACTGGTTTTCCCACAGCCACAATTGATTTCGGTAGATGGTATCGTTTCTGGGACGAACAGACGTTCGAGAGGTGAGATGTAGCACACGGCCGGCCGGCCGGACAGACAGACAGACCCAACTAACTACAGTACCCTCGCTGCGCATGCGCTGACTCTCTGCGTAAAACAAAGTACTGTATATTTACCCTCGCGTCTGCGCACAGCGGGTTGGTTGGTAACAACAAGCAAGTGCACATCTGGATTGCAAGATACAGAGCAGTCCCATATAAAACATTAATATACAATCCAAGACAAAAAAGTCGAGGAAAAAGAAAGAAAGTCAATATATACAATTCCACGGTATAAAAGTAACCACCGTATAACATTAATTTTGCAAAGTCAAAATAGTTCATCAGGCTCCTTAGTGAAGTATAGGCAGGCCAAAGTGGCTTTGCTTCATTTACTTTCTTGAGTCATTCTTTTAAGGGATCTCTTCACGTCTTCTAGCTTGTCGGTCATCCCATCATTTCCAAACTCGCGCTGTAGTATACCCACAACGAGACCTGCAGCCACCGCTGTAGCTACAGATGTACCAGAGTAAGCACCCAGTCGCTTTTTGGCATTAAGGGAGGGAGCACAGACGCCCACACCGAGAGTGGTGAAATCAATCTTGTGGCTCAGTGGGTCTGCACAGTTTTCTGCACGATTCCAGTTAGAGTTGTGGGCTCCAACTGAAATGCAGTTGTCGAAGAGTGCTGGGTATCTCACTGCCACACCTGGAGTATTGCCACTGTTGCCTGCTGCTGCCACACAAATAATGCCCCTGCATTTTTAGCCTATTGATCCACATTTTCCAGCTTTGAGGAATGTTTGTTAAAACCAAATGACATTGAAACTACATGAATGGGCGTTTTTGCTTATGGATTTTTTCGATATACTCCAAAGCGTCAATAACTTTTCCATACCAAAATCCGTTTCTTGTATTGCTCACTTTACATATCAGAAGACTAGCCTTCGAAGCAACTCCTCCACTATACTTGAAACCCATTGTATCGACGACATCCCCGGCTGCTATTCCAGCACACATTGTCCCATGTCCATCAGACATCATCGATGGTCTTGCTGATAAAACTTTTAGACTCAGGCAATATTTCCCAGGAGATTGGAAAACCTTGTGGTCGCATTTGATACCCGTGTCAATGATCGCAATAACAAACTTGGAGCCATCTGTCGGCTCCATGGTTCTACCAGCACGGGCAGCCGCATTTCCCCAAAACTGCCACGGATAAAGTTTTGCATCATCCTCTGACAGCAATCTTTCAGTTGCGTCACATAGAGCCACCTGTTCGTCTAATAGGGAGGAAACATATATCATGGTAGAGCTAATGAAGCCAGATTTGGCACAATGTACACTTACCATTTAAAAGTTCTGCAGGTGATGGTGGTGGCGGGGCACCCTTCCTGCTCCTTCATAGAGAAGGTAGATATTATCTCTCTACACACTTTACAGTAACTAAACCTTAAATACACTCAACCACATTTTTGCCTCCTTATCCAGTTAAAAGACCTGAAAATGTTTTGTAGGCCTACGGCGGCACTAAAATTTCCCTTGTTGTGTAGGGATAACAATATAGCTACAGTTACCATGTAAAATGTCTGCAGGTGATGGTGGCGGCGGGGCACCATTCTCTGCTCCTGCATAGAAGAAGGTAGATATTACTCTCTACACACTTTACAGTAACTAAACCTTAAATATACTCAACCACATTTTTGCCTCCTTATCCAGCTTAAAAGACCTGAAAATGTTTTGTAGGCCTACGGCGGCACTAAAATTTCCCTTGTTGTGTAGGGATAACAATATAGCTACAGTTACCATGTAAAATGTCTGCAGGTGATGGTGGCGGCGGGGCACCATTCTCTGCTCCTGCATAGAGGAAGGTAGATATTACTCTCCTAGGTAGCTATACACTTTACAGTAACCAACCCCTCAAAATTTCACTGCGTTTATAATGCATTCAACCGCCTCCTTATCCAGCTTTAAAAACCTGAAAAATCGTCTCTCCCTGATGCAATAATATAGAATACAGAGGCGCACCATACCAACCAATGCTTGGTAGCTAGCCATCGAGTTGTTTAGATGCACCATAGCTAATGCCTGCTCTGCAGCATATCAATAGGTGTTTAATGATGACATGCATGGTCCATGCACAATGTGGCAAGTTTAGAGACCAGAAAGACTGATAATGGTTCTGCAAACCTTTTATAAACTTGCAATAAAGTCCTATTGTTCCAACAGCCACAATAATGGCTGGAATAAGAGCATTAGTCATCTACTTTAAATAGTATATAGATTATTATACAAACCTGCTATGAAAGAAGCTCTGTCATCACTGAAAGTATAAGCAATTACAAAGATCAGCATTGAGAACCGAAAAAGAACAACAATTACACTCTTTAGAGACCCTGCAAAAAGAAAAAAAATTACTAAAGGGAGGGTATAAAGGAAAAGTCTGTGTGGAAGGCACAAAGACCACACTATATAGCTCACCTGCAGAAGCAGCAACAGGCCTGGGTGTTTCAGGAGAGTCCAGATGGATATCAAACTTAATTCCGCTGGTGGCTCCTCTAAAAGCAATCTTACCACCACTGAATGTGGCATTCTCTTTGGATGAGACAAAGAACATCTTAAATCGGGGAGGATAGAAGTCTTCCTCACGCTGTTCCATAGTTTCAGTTACAAAAAAGTCCACATCACAGCGATATATCTGAATGAGAACAAGGCATAGTTAATAATAAATCATAACAATAGCATAATATATACCTTATTTTCTCCTGACATCCTAATATAACCATCAGCTGGTTGATTAAGGATGACAACCTCAAGTGCAGAATCTTTGCCATAAGAAGAGAATCTAAATGGAACTTTCTTTATCCTTCGTCCCTCCAAGCCCATTTTCTTTATTATCGCCTTTACTCTCTGCAGACAGGTCTCCAATTTCATAAAGGTGATAAAGAAAAAAGCATTGACCGACTTGTTGACTGGAAGTGTGGAACTTGGAAGAACAGCAGTTATACAGAACTGGGTGTTTTCTAGATTCTCTGGTATGTCCTCTTTGGCAATGCAACTAAAGCAGAAATGTTCATCTTTAAGAGCACCATGTGTATATAAAGATTTAAAGTCATTCTCTGCATTGGTTGGCTGGAATTCAAAAAGTCCCTCAGAGTTCTTGTTGTGATCTGCTTTGAGGAAGGTGAGACCCAGAGATGTGATGTCGTCATCATTCTCAAGATCAAGGAAGTGAGGGATGGCGACTGTGACTGGTTTGGAAAACTGGAAGTTACTCTTGCCACGAACACAGACCAAAAACACAGGAGACACAGGTCTCAGACCTTTTGGGAATTGGAATGGGCCAAAGAGAGTCACTCCCACATCAACCGTGAGTATCTCTCCCTCAGGAATGGCTCCCTCTGGGATCTCAAGACTGAAGTCATTGGCTTCATCAGTGAATATTGTTCCTTCACTAGTGCAGTCAGACAAGGTAGTGATTAGAGTTACAAACAGAGGAGAATTACATTTTCGCCTGTTGTAGATACATGTATATATGATGTAAGCAATGACACTGCTGATACCAAGTATGTATTCCAGCAACAAATATTCATTCTCCATACAAACAAAAATAGTTGTGCCAGCGTAAACGGCAAAAGTGTTTCCATCATGATCAACAGTCGTTTGGCACCTGTACTGTAATTCCTTGAGACTAGAGTTAAGCCTCATTATAAGGGTAGAGTTGCTACTAACAATAACTTCGCCATTACTTGTTACTTCCAACCACATTATAGAGTATCTTTGTGCCAGTGCTCCCACTGCCATGTTACATTGCAGCACATCACGATTTGCTGCATGTAAAACACGTACCTTCTTATCTATATTAGCAGGGTAGCCTGTAGGGCAAAACAAGGATGGAGGTGTGTATAAACAAAACAAAAACTCATACAGCTAGTTAGCCTTGTGCCCAGACCCTCGCAAAGGAAATGCATGGTAACTTTTGAATCATCATGTGACCATGAATACAGGCTTATGAATTTTGTGCAGAGATGTCCTTAAGTTCAAACAAATTGATGGCATAAAGCACCAAAATAAATAAATAAAAAAACAAGGGGTAGTGACACAGCATAGGTGTACAAGTGGAAAAATCATTTCTTCAAAATGAAGGGGGATATAGGAATGGCTTGAAGCACCAAAAAGGAAGAAACAAGGGGTCATTACACAACAAAGATGCACCAAGCTACATGACACCATCCCTATATCTTTGTCTCATAGTAAACTTTACTTGTGAACAATAAAACAAAGATATAGGGATGGTGTCATGTAGCTTGGTGCATCTTTGCTGTGTAATACCCCTTGTTTCTTCCTTCAAGCCATCCCTATATCCCCCTTCATTTTGAAGAAATGATTTTTCCACTTGTTTCCATTATTTTTCATGCCTTATTCTGATGTTCATGGGTGTTGTAGAGATAACTGTTGAAAGCAGAAGCTAATGTACCTGAAGCAGGGTGTATGCGTAGTGTCTCCAACAACGAGTTGTGGCACATATGGTGGGGTGGTTTCGTAGGCAGGCTTCAGTAATCAGACTACAACGATAGGGGGTCAAACAATGAAGGCGCTGGGCAAGGCCCGCGTAACACGGCGCACACTGCCAAGTTGCTCCTCGTAAATCAACAGCAAAACGCAAGCTAGCCAGTTAAAAATGATGCAATTAGGTTGTGGCACATATGGTGGGGTGGTTTCGTAGGCAGGCTTCAGTAATCAGACTACAATGATAGCTATAACCTGGGGGACAAACAATGAAGGCGCGGCAAGGCCGCGTAACACGGCGCACACTGCCAAGTTGCTCCTCGTACAAATCAACAGCAAAACGCAAGCTAGCCAGTTAAAAATGATGCAATTAGGTTGTGGCACATATGGTGTCGTAGGCAGGCTTCAGTAATCAGACTACAATGATAGCTATAACCTGGGGGACAAACAATGAAGGCGCGGCAAGGCCCGCGTAACACGGCGCACACTGCCAAGTTGCTCCTCGTACAAATCAACAGCAAAACGCAAGCTAGCCAGTTAAAATGTGTATACTGACTTACAGAAGGCACTGGAGGATAAGAGTTCCTCTGCAGGCATCCTGGCTTGACCTGGTTCACGCACGAGACTATAATGCGCGCGCACCGCGCGCTTTGGAGAAACTCCGCATGCGACTCACGTTAGCAGCAAATGGCGTTGTCCAGTGACTACCGTGGAAGAGCTCAACGATCTACCGTAGTGACTTGCGGCAAGAAACAAGCCATCACTTGATATGCGTGCACACCTCCGGCAAATTTGGAGACGTTCTGTGAAAAAAATCAACGCTTCAACTGCTTCCGGTAAGGAGCTAGCGGGTCTGAAGAAGAAGAAGAATAATATTATGATGCACGAAAATCGCGAAATCGCGTAAGTGTGAATTCTCTCGTGGGGAACTGAGGGCACGTAGGAAGTCTTGGGGCATATGTATAGCTAGGTATTGGCCTCTAGACTATTGCTAGTGATTTTGAAGCCATGGTGAGTCATTCTCGCTGAGTTTTGAGGCGTTTTGTACGCGGATCACGTGAGATTTCACTCGTGTCATCCCTATATAGAGCGTCTACCGACGCTCTGATTATAGTTAACTATGCACCAAGCTACATATGAAATTTTCCCCACAAGACATTTTCATTGTTCCACCACAATCATACAGTTGCTCCTGACGTGACAGCAGACAGACAAGACCTGGTGCTAGTTCCAGTAGGGATAGGGACTCTCCGGATCTCCTGTACCTACCTCGGCATCCCTCCTCCTGATGCCATCACGTGGATACACAATGGCACCACCTTAGTCCCTGCAGCCGACTCTCGAATATCAGTCAGTTTCAATAACACTGGAACCACTCTCACCATCACGGAGGTGACGGAGGAAGAAGGAGGGATGTTCGTGTGTGTACCTCAGAATATTTTGGGCAGCAACTCTGCCACCACTGAAGTTAGGATTCAGCGTAAGTAATTACATGTGTGCACAGGTAATATGTAGCCATTGCTTGCTTTCCCATTCCCTCCCTTCCCCTCTCCCCAGTGCCCCCTGGTCCACCCACTGATCTGGGGGTAGTGGAAGATTCAGAGACGACTACATCTCTCAGTATCTCCTGGACAAACCCAGTCTTCAGTGGATTCAGTGAAATAGCCAGCTTCAGATTAAGACTTACCAGCAGACATCTTGAAATCATTCGCGACATTCCTGGCGACGCTATGACGATGACGGCAAACCTCAACAACCTTCGTCCGTTCACTGCCTACACCATCCGGCTCTCTGTGAGGAATGCAGTGGAACTGGAGGGAGAGGCAGCTATCACAACTGGGATGACCGACTCACTAGGTAAGGAGATTGCATTGAAATAAGCAACATACTTTTAAGTAGTGATTTATCAACATGATGTTTGTGTTTCATACTGCCCTATTCCCAACAGATCTTGGTACAGTCAGGAACTTAGTGGCCACAGCAAGCAACTCAACAGCCATCGTGGTGACATGGATGGTAAGACATTATTGCCTTCAGGCAGTGAGAGAAAGAATAAAGAAGGAGAGACTAGAGCACGAGAACTTATACATTTTCACCAAGTTGAATGCCTTTAACCTTTCTGCCTCTCTATTTACTCGCAACCAAAGTCCCCAGCCCTCAATCCTGACACAACAGCTCCAGTGGACAACTACCGGGTGACCTATGGTATTGCTGATGGAGGAAGTGGAACTTCTCTCCTCACGCCTCCCAACCAACTCTTTGTCACTCTGAATGGTCTGCAGATGGGAACGGAATATGACATCTCAGTACTAGGCATCAACAGTGTTGGAGATGGCCCATCAGTCAGTGTCACTGAGTCCACCTTCATTGGTGGTGAGTTAGCTACTTTTCTTGAGTCAAATCCTTTTAATTACACTACAATTTCTCAAGCTCCCAGTGCACCTGGGGATTTCCAGGGGGGAAAGTCTTAATCCGTTCACAATATCTGTCTCCTGGAGAGAATCTGAGACCAATGGAGGTAGCTATGCTTCTGCCCCTTATCTTCCCTGATAGATAGTGACCATGGAAGCTCTCTCCCTCCCTCCCTCCCTGATCCCTCTCTCCCTCTCTCTCTCTCTCTTCAGGCCGTCCAATTGTGCGATATGAACTCAAACTCACTGAGATTGGAACTGTGGCTGATAGTTCACTAGTGGTAGTAACACCTCATGCTACACAGTTGACACACTCATTCACAAATCTCCAGCAAAACACCATTTACATGTGAGTGTAAATATTTTGTACATAATATTCCTTTTGACTACCAAGCTCCTGCTAGGATAAGCATCACAGCTGTCAACAGAGATGGTAGTACAGGGCCAGAGATGACCAGTGATCCAGTGGAAATCATTATCACCACTCTCCCCGTGGGACCTCCGCAGATCCCAGACAAACCCACCGTCTCCATGATCACCAACACCTCCGCCAGAATCTCCTGGACTAACCCTGGTGTGTACATGTGTGTCTGTGTGTGAAGGTTTAGAAAGAGAAGAAGGACGATAATATGGAGACGGGACACAGAGAGTGGTTGGGAATGAGACTTTCATGATTTCCCTTATGATGCAGGTGGTTATCGTGAGACGTACACACTGGAGATCAGACGTATTCTAGACTGTGGAAATGAGACAATTCAAAGAATCCCAGGCATTACATCTGAATCATACGACCAGGCTGGACTGATGCCTGTCACTACATACGATGCGAGGATTCTTTCAGTTAACTTCAACGGTCCATCGAATTTCAGTGACGCGGCCAGGTTTAGCACTGTTGGTAAGTGAAATGAATTCAATGTGTGTTCTATTCTCCCCCACCCCCTCGTCCAGGTATGGTGATGGTAGGAGGAGGAGAGGGAGCCGTGGACGACACACTAGAGACCACATCTGGTGATACTGTCACCCTCACCTGCTCCCTGGACCAGGTGGAGAATGACCCCGTGACCTTTACCTGGGCCAGACAAGATGGCAGACCACTGCCCGAGGGATCCACCCAGGCTGATGGTGAGAAAGGGAGGAGGGAACTGGCAAGGTGCCATTTGTGGAAAGGTGTTTGGGTATGTCTTGTCATGCAGACTCATTGAACAAGGTTCCGGCTCTAGTTCTCGTTAGTTTAATGTCCCACCCTACATGAACCAGGTGTTCTGACAATCCCGGGGGCAAGAGTAGAGGACAGCGGTGTGTATGTCTGCTCTGCCAGTGGCGTTCAGGGGTCATTCACTCTCTCTGTCCAACAATTTCGTGAGTGTAGCTAACTAACTAAACTTTTCACGCCTGATGAAACATAGGTAAATATCTTGTGTGGTCCACGCAACACTTATATTTCACTGTTCATTAAATATATATGCACAGCTGAACAAGCCAGTAGTGGAACTCTATCAACTGGAGGTGCTGTGGCCATCACGTTCACCATCACTCTGCTAGTGTCTCTACCAGTGGGTGTGGTCATTGGTTTGCTGCTGCCCCAGGCAGTCAGGAGATGTGTTGGAGGAGTGAGGAGGATGAAAAGGAGAGAGGGAGAGGAGGATGAAGGAGACATCTATGAAGAGCCAGATAAGATGGCAACAGTCATCCCTCTCTCACAGAATGAGGCCTATGTCTGTAGTCAACAGAGAAACCAATGATCCTTCGTTTGCTTTGTAGAGTGTGTGTTTTTCTAAACCTTTACGTAGTCTGCGTCAAGCTAGTCTCGCGTGGCCAGACGTTACGCGGGGGCAAGCGAACCCCCGGTACGTCTGGCCCCGCGAGACAAACGTCAAGCCAAGCATCATCATGGGGCTCGCGCGGAATCGCCGCATCATCACGCCGTTAATTAATTATAGCGATGCGCGCACGCGTCGCTCGTAGATATGGGGCGGGTCTGTCGTCACACGCAAATTGCTACGATTTACAGTGAGTTTCACATTTATGTTTGTTAACCGACCAATGGCCTTTATCTTCAATGAATGTAGCTATGCGTGAGATACCATTACTGTGGTTGGGCATCGCTATCAGCGTTGTCTTCAGTGAGTTCTACTTCATATGATACTTACACACTTATTACTCTCTGACAGAACTGTTTCAGCTATCGTTTTGCTCCATATGTTCATGGGAAATATACAAATTTGTATACAGTTGTAACAGCTGAAGCTCAAGTGTCAGCAGTGGCTAGTTTCAATGACTCGAGATGTGCTGGGCAGATGGTGTGCTCAAATGACGCTCTTCTCTTCACTTGTACTGTCACTGAAAGTACTTCAGCTCTTGCTAGTGTAACACTACCCTCTGGAGAGGGAGTACAAGTCACTAGTGGCAACATGATACAAGTAGTTGACGGTCCACTACCAGAAGGAGTGACTGTACAGTCTCACGATGCACTAGTAGATGGAGTACTAGTAAACTACAAACTAACACTGTCTATCGAGAGAGCCTCACTGTTGGGTGGGAATCCCATCATATGTACTGCTATTACTGTGTCACCGTTGACAGATGAGGCATCATGTCCAATAGCCACAGGTATATACAGCATTTCAATGTGATACAAGACCCACCATTGAACATTATACATCACTGCAGACCCACCAGGTCCACCAGAGTCTCTGAGTCAGAATATATCAGCCAACACTGAGACATCAGCAGTGGTGCAGTGGGGGTCTCCAGCCATGACTGGAGGCAATGGAGTGACCATCAGTGAATACAGAGTGACTGTTGATGGCGGGGTGACCCAGACTGTCGGCCATGATGATAGTAGAGATGTCTTCACTGCCACCATTACTGTACCACAGTTCAACACCAGCTACAGTGTGTCAGTGACTGCCATCAACTCTTGTGGTCTCTCCAGTCAGCCTGCCAACGCCACTGTCTTCATTGATGCCAGAGGTTTGTGGAATTCATAAGAGATAATACGAACCACTTATTTGGTATGATGACAATGCTGGTGTTTATTTCAGTTCCACCTCAGCCTACAGTACAGTCTCTTGTCATGTACTGCGATCTTCCTCTGAGTGGTGGTAGACCTGTTGTACTCAATTGGACGGTCAGCTAGTGGTTGATTGCTTGATTGCGTAGCTACACATGTACACAACATTTTGGCAATGTTATTCTAGGAGGGAGAGAGGGAGGTGGGGGTGGTGTATCCAGGAGAGGAGATGGCAACAGTGGACCTGACTCCAGGAGGGACCATATGCTCTCTTCTCTCAACACCTAACACCAGTTGTACTGCTACCATTACCAGTGACTGCAACAACTACAACATCTCTGTCACTCTCTCCAATGATATCGGGTCTTCTCAACCAGTATCCATTATCTTTAACGGTGGGCTTCAGCCTTTAAGTGTGTGTTTAGCAACTTCAGAAAGAACTTTACACTGAGAACGGGTTTTGATATGAATGGTGTCTCTCTATTAGCTGCCCCAGTGGAGGTGGAGGAGGGAGAGAGTCCATCTGGAGGACCTGCAGTCGTAGTCAGTCTGAACCCTCTCTGTCGCAGTGTCCCCTACACAGTGGGGCTGTCGTTTGGAGTGAGAGAGAACAGTGGAGAGACGTGTCTTCCTCAGCAGAACGTGACAACCAACATCCTCCCTGGAACTCCTGTCATCCTGCCTATTAATGTCACTACTCTTCCTCTGGCAGATGGCCAGCAATACTGTTTCACAGTTCCCCAGCTAAACATTGAAGGTGGTATGTAGCTATAGATACAATGCAACAATCATTTCCATTAGTCCTACTTACTAGATCTGCCTACAACCTGTACAAGCACTTGTACTGACACTAGAGAAGAGAAGGAGAGTATATCAACTGGAGTTGCTGTGGCTATAACACTGACCATCACTCTGTTGGTGTCACTACCAGTGGGTGTGGTCATTGGTTCCTGTGGTACAATTCGTAGAGGAGGAGAAAGAGGAGAGAGGAAGAGGAAGAGGAAAGAGAGAGGAGCTTGTAGCAGCTATCTATGAGGAGCCAGTTCATTCAGTGGAGACTGCCATTCCTCTCTCTGAGAACCAGGCATATGGCCAGGTCTCCTCTCAGAGGTAGTAGAGGGAGGCGGTCAACTGTGTATTACAACATTACAGTATTATAGTTATGTAGTTTCATTCAGTGTACATTGTACAGTAAATTATCTCGTCAATTAGCTACTCTTCAATTACTGAACCGATGGGCAGTGAAATTTTACTAAAATCGGACGCGCAGATGTATGCGCATGCGCATAATTACGACCTCACTGTTTCAGCAACAGACGGTGGGTTAGGAAACCCAGAGAGTAATGATGTTCTGCTATTAGGCCCTTATTTGCGTTGTGTGGTGAGATGGCAATACCATTAGTCTTGGTCCTGGCCCTTCTTATGATATTTCGGTGACAAAAGCACGCCAAACAACACAAAACACGCCGCCGACTGGGAACTGTCAGGGTGAGTGGTGCAACTTTGCCTCTGCAGTGCAGTGTGCAACAGCAGCGCTCTGTAATGCATCAGCTGGCTAACTATTATTCTTTCCTCTGCCCTGCTAGAGCACGCTGTTGTGAATGCTCCGCAGCCAGTCACTGCACCGCTGCCACCTTCTACTGCACAGTCTTTTCCCCCGAAAAATCGAGTGAAAGATCGATTGAGAGATCGATTTTTGACAGGCAGAGAGCCCTTACTTTTGGCGGAAATGGCGTACCATAGTAATTAATTGCACGTGTACGGAGCGCAGCTAGGCCATAATTATTCGGTTCAGTTTCTACGGGGAGGAAGAAAAACTCTGACAATTATATAATGAGTTTTCCACTTCTATTCTTCGCTGCGGGATGCTCGCTTTTTAGCAGCGGTGAGTTGAGAGATGCTAGTGGTCGTCAACTGTCGGCAATCGCGAGCCTCGATTTTCAGGCGCCACTGAACCCCACGAAGTATAGCTATACCTATAAAATTGAGATTTTTTCCAGCTATCTCTCAGAGTGTGGATGACTGTACAGCCACGGTGCAGATTGTTGGTACAACGTCGGCTCCCAACCAGATAGATATTCCACTAGGAACTGTCTGTGTCCAGTGTGTTGTCAATGGAGTAGTAGACACAGCCACCACCACTTTCCTAATTGGAAACTCACCAATCCAGGGAGTGGTGGATAATGGAGTTCTGGTGGTTGATGATACTAGCATGACGTTCCAGGCATCCCCTGCCCTGACTTTGCGGTGTGTTAGTGGCTCAGGGGGTGTAAGACAGGCTTCAGTTTACTTGGACGGTATGTCTCCCATGTTTGTGTAAGTGTTATTTTAAATGGTATTGTATTGTACAGTGTATCTACCTCCGATAATCACGGGAGTAACTACAGTCAATGAGGGAGGCACACTGTTCCTCATCTGTGACAGCACAAACTCCAACCGAGAACCGATTGCACAGTGGTTCGACAAAGATGGCCAGATGGTGTCTTCATCTGGAGTACTGAGTATCTCCAACATCATGAGGTCTCAGGCTGGGAACTATACCTGTCGAACCTCTCCTCCAAACCTTGACAACTCTACCAGCACAACTGTGACAGTGGTCGTACAATGTGAGTCACAGTGTATATAGTTAGCTATACACCAAGCTAAAACAATCATTGCCATTAGTCCTACTTACTAGATCTGCCTGCCTGCCATTCCTCTCTCTGAGAACCAGGCATGTGGCCAGGTGTCTACCAAACATTGACTACTACACACTATGTATCGAACAACTTTTAGCTTGCACATGTGATTAGTGAATTTCTACTGGCTGTCCCCAAACTCTGGTTGTCAGTTCATAAGTCACAAACAGTTAACTTTGAGATGTCACTTCAAGGAATGTTATGCATTCGTGACTCTTCTAAAATGAAAATAGCTGTTGAGGATATTTGTATTTATCCGGATAGAAATAAGGAAAGCGGATTTGTTGGGCAACAGGCACCCTCAAGCTTGTTTACTGCCATTTATAGGAATGAACTTAAAAATTGCACACACTTAGTGCTACGTTGTGTAGTGTGTATTTTAGTGGATGGTTAGCTACCACTGAACCCCATAAAGTAGTAGCTATAACTATAAAATTGAGATTTTTTTTTCCAGCTCTCTCTCAGAGTGTGGATGACTGTATAGCCACGGTGCAGATTGTTGGTACATTGCAGGATCCCAACCAGATAGATATTCCACTAGGAACTGTCTGTGTCGTGTGTGTTGTTAAAGGAGAAGTAGACACAGCCACCACCACTTTCCTAATTGGAAACTCATCAATCCAGGGAGTGGCAGACAATGGAGTTCTGGTGGTTGATGATACTAGCATGACGTTCCAGGCATCCCCTGCCCTGACTTTGCGGTGTGATCCTAGCTCAGGGGATGTAAGACAGGCTTCAGTTTACTTGGACGGTATGTCTCCCATGTTTGTGTAAGTGTTATGTTCAAATGGTATTGTATTGTACAGTGTATCTACCTCCGATAATCACGGGAGCAACTACAGTCAATGAGGGAGGCACACTGTCCCTCTCCTGTGACAGCACAAACTCCAACCGAGAACCGACTTGCACAGTGGTTCGACAAAGATGGCCAGATGGTGTCTTCATCTGGAGTACTGGATATCCCCAACATCATGAGGTCTCAGGCTGGGAACTATACCTGTCGAACCTCTCCTCCAAACCTTGACAACTCTACCAGCACAACTGTGACAGTGGCCGTACAATGTGAGTCACAGTGTATATAGTTAGCTATGCACCAAGCTAAAAACAATCATTGCCATTAGTCCTACTTACTAGATCTGCCTGCCTGTCATTCCTCTCTCTGAGAACCAGGCATAAACATTGACTGCTATCTACAAACTATGTGTCCAACAACTTTTAGCTTGCACATGTGATTAGTGAATTTCTACCGAAAGATTTTTGCTGTCTCCAAACTCTGGTTGTCAGTTCATAAGTCACAAACAGTCAACTTTGAGATGTCACTTCAATGAATGTTATGCATTCGTGACTCTTCTAAAATGAAAATAGTTGTTGAGGATATGTGTTTATCCGGATAGAAATAAGGAAAGCAGAGGTGTGGGCAACAGGCACCCTCAAGCCTGTTACAGTTGTACTGCTCCCATTAGGAATGAACTTAAAAATTGCACACCCTAGTGTAGTGTGTATTGTGTACAAGTGGATGGTACCACTGAACCTCACAGAGTAGTAGCTATAACTATAAAATTGAGGTATTTTTCCCCAGCTCTCTCTCAGAGTGTGGATGACTGTATAGCCACGGTGCAGATTGTTGGTACAACGTCAAATCCCAACGAGATAGATATTCCACTAGGAACTGTCTGTGTGGAATGTGTTGTCGATGGAGAAGTAGTACTGACACGCCACCACCACTTTCCTAATTGGAAACTCACCAATCACAGGGAGTGGCATGCTGGAGTTCTGGTGGTTATGATACTAGCATGACGTTCCAGGCATCCCCTGCCTGACTTTGCGTGTGTTAGTGGCTCAGGGGGTGTAAGACAGGCTTCAGTTTACTTGGACGGTATGTCTCTCATGTTTGTGTAAGTGTTATGTAAATGGTATTGTATTGTACAGTGTATCTACCTCCGATAATCACGGGAGTAACTACAATCAATGAGGGAGGCACACTGTCCCTCTCCTGTGACAGCACAAACTCCAACCGAGAACCGCCTTCACAGTGGTTCGACAAAGATGGGCAGATGGGGTCTTCATCTGGAGTACTGAATATCCCCAACATCATGAGGTCTCAGGCTGGGAGCTATACCTGTCGAACCTCTCCTCCAAACCCTGACAACTCTACCAACACAACTGTGACAGTAGTCGTACAATGTGAGTGTGTGTGTAGCTATATGCACCAAGCTAAAACAATAATTTCCATTAATCCTACTACTAGATCTGCCTACAGCCAGTACAACAAGCACTAGTACTGACACTAGAGCAACTGGAGTTGCTGTGGTTATCAGCACAATCATCTCTCTATTGGTGTCCCTACCAGTGGGTGTGGTCATTGGTTCCTGTGGGACATTGTTTGCAATTCGTAGAGGAGAAGAAAGAGGAGAGAGGAAGAAGAAGAAGAAAGTGGAGTTTGGAGAAGCCAGTTCATTCAGTGGAGACTGCCATTCCTCTCTCTGAGAACCAGGCATATGGCCAGGTCTCCACTCAGAGGTAGTAGAGGAAGGTGGTGAACTGTGTATTACAACATTACAGTATTATAGTTATGTAGTTTCATTCAGTGTACATTGTACAGTAAATCATCTCGTCAATTAGCTACTCTTCAATTCAATTTACTGAACCAATGGGCAGCGAAATTATATCATACTTTGCAGTTGCATATAGTCTCAAGGTTACCGCACACACAAGCCTTCTTTACCATAGCATTTACCTTTCTCCTAAAACATATGGCTATATACATTACTAGACACTTGGGATTTACATACAAGATACAAGCCAATATTACCGTCACGGGGTTGTGGGGTGACTGCATGTGACAGTCACCATCCTCCTGAGCAAGTGTAGAGGACAGTGGTGTGTAGCTATGTCTGCTCTGCCAGTGGAGTTCAGGGCAGGAGACACTTACTTTCTCTCTGTCGTGGAGACAGAGTCAGCTGTGAAACCATTGAAAAAGATCAGAGAACGTTCACTCTCTCTGTCCTACAATATGGCGAGTAATGATTATCTTCAACTAAACTTTCCACGCCTGATGAAACAGAGGAAATATCCTATGTGGTCCACGCAACACTATATTATTTCACAGTTCATTGCCACTGTGGCTATTAGCACAATCATCTCTGTACTGGTGTCACTACCAGTGGGTGTGGTCATTGGTTCCTGTGGTGCAATTCGTAGAGGAGAAAGAGGAGAGAAGAAGAAGAAGAAGAGAAAGGAGCTTGTAGCAGCCATCTATGAGGAGCCAGTTCATTCAGTGGAGACTGCATTCCTCTCTCTGAGAACAGGCATATGGCCAGGTTCTTCTTCTCGAGGTAGTAGAGGAAGTGTGTGAACTGTGCATTATAATAATATTACTTATGTAGTTTCATTCATTGTACATTGTACAGTAAATCATCTCGTCAATTAGCTACTCTTCAATTCAATTTACTGAACTGATGGGACGCGAAATTATATCATACTTTGCAGTTGCATAGTAGTCTCAAGGTTACTGCACACACAAGCCTTCTTTACCATAGCATTTACCTTTCTCCTTAAACGTATCGCTACGGATTTACATACAAGATACAAGATACAAGAGATTATTCCAATATTACCCTCGTGGGGTTGTGGGGTGACTGCATGTGACAGTCACCATCCTCCTGAGCAAGTGTAGAGGACAGTGGTGTGCAGCTATGTCTGCTCTGCCTGTGGGGTTCAGGGGTCATTCACTCTCTCTGTCTCTGCCATGGAGGATGAGACAGGTCAATAATGCTGTGAAACAATTGACAGAGAACATTCAAACTATCTCTGTCCTACAATATGGCGGAGTAATGATTATCTTCAACTAAACTTTCCACGCCTGATGTAAATATCCTGTGTGGTCCACACAACACTTATATTTCACAGTTCAATACAAACCATCCACTAATGAACAGCTGAACAACCCAGTATATAGTGGAACTCTATCAACTGGAGGTGCTGTGGCCATTACGTTCACATTCACTCTACTAGTGTTCCTACCAGTGGGTGTGGTATTGCTGTCCCAGGCAGTCAGGAGATGTGTGAGGAAGAGGAGAGGGAGAGAGGGAGAGAGGGAGAGGAGGATGAAGGAGATATCTTCGAAGAGCCAGATAAGATGGCAACAGTATCCTTGTCTCTCACAGAATGAGGCCTATGTTCTGAGTCAAAAGAGAAACTAATGATGCTTGCAGATAGTGTGTCTTTTTATCCTCATCCCTAAGTCTTGACCAACATTTTTGTTCTGCTAGCCATGAACAGGAATACACTACTTTCGCGCGGTCCCGCGCGCACTCTCTTGAGGCAGCATGCGCGGATTTTCACGCGATCAATTTTCATGAGCATGCGTATAGTGCAAGTCGCTTTATGGGCGGGTCCGGTCCGTCGTCACCGCTGAGTTTATGTTGTATGGAGCTTTTCGATGAATGTAGCTATGCGTGAGATACCATTACTGTGGTTGGGCATCGCTATCAGCGTTGTCTTCAGTGAGTTTTACTTCATATGATACTTACACACTATTACTCTCTGACAGAACTGTTTCAGCTATCGTTTTGCTCCATATGTTCATGGGAAATATATAAATTTGTATACAGTTGTAACAGCTGAAGCTCAAGTGTCTGCAGTGGCTAGTTTCAATGACTCAAGATGTGCTTGGCAGATGGTGTGTCCAAATGACCCTCTTCTCTTCACTTGTACTGTCACTAAAAGTACTTCGGAACTTGCTGAAGTAACACTACCCTCTGGGGAGGGAGTACAAGTCACTATTGGCAACACGACACAAGAAGTTGGAGCTACTCCTCTACCAGATGGAGTGACTGTACAGTCTCACGATGCAGTAGAGGATGGAGGACCAGTAGACTACACACTAACACTGGCTATTGAGAGAGCCTCACTGTTGAGTGGCAATCCCATCATATGTAATGCTAGAACTGTGCCAGTGTCAACAGACGAGGCATCATGTCCAATAGCCACAGGTACAGCACTTTAATGTCATACAACACCCACCATTGAACATCACTGCAGACCCACCAGGTCCACCAGTAGGACTGAGTCAGGTTGTATCAGCCAACACTGAGACATCGGCAGTGGTGCAGTGGCGGTCTCCAGCCATGACTGGAGGCAGTGGAGTGAACATCAATGAATATAAAGTGACTGTTAATGGTGGGATGACTCAGACTGTCAGCCATGATGATAGTGGAGATGTCTTCACTGCCACCATTACTGTGCCACAGTTCAACACCAGCTACAGTGTGTCAGTGACTGCCATCAACTCTTGTGGTCTCTCCAGTCAGCCTGCCACCACCACTGTCTTCATTGAGGCCAGAGGTTTGTGGAATTCATGAGATAATACGAAGTACTAATTTGGTATGATGCCAATGCTGGTGTTTATTTCAGTTCCACCTCAGCCTACAGTACAGTCTCTTGTCATGTACTGCGATGTTCCTCTGAGTGGTGGTAGACCTGTTGTACTCAATTGGACGGTCAGCTGGTGGATACTTGCATACACATGCACACAACATGTTGGCAATGTTATTCTAGAGGGGAGAGAGGCAGGTGGGGGTGGTGTATCCAGGAGAGGAGACAACAGTGGACCTGACTCCAGGAGGGACCATATGCTCTCTTCTCTCAACACCTAACACCAGTTGTACTGCTGCCATTACCAGTGACTGCACCAACTACAACATCTCTATCACTCTCTCTAATGATGTCGGGTCTTCTCAAATATCCATCATCTTTAACTGTGAGCTTCACCATTTAAGTGTGTGTTTAGCAACTTCAGGAAGAACTTTACACTGAGAACGAGTTTTGATATGAATGGTGTCTCTCTATTAGCTGCCCCGGTGGGGGTGAAGGAGGGAGAGAGTCCAGCTGGAGGACCTGCAGTCGTAGTCAGTCTGAACCCTCTCTGTCGCAGTGTCCCCTACACAGTGGGGCTGTCGTTTGGAGTGAGAGAGAACAGTGGAGTGACGTGTCTTCCTCAGCAGAACGTGACAGCCAACATCCTCCCTGGAACCCCTGTCATCCTGCCTATTAATGTCACTACTCTTCCTCTGGCAGATGGCCAGCAATACTGTTTCACAGTTCCCCAGCTAAACATTGAAGGTGGTATGTAGCTATAGATACAATGCAACAATCATTGCCATTAGTCCTACTTACTAGATCTGCCTACTGCCAGTACAAGCACTTGTACTGACACTAGAGAAGAGAAGGAGAGTATATCAACTGGAGTTGCTGTGGCTATAAGTACAATCATCACTCTATTGGTGTCCCTACCAGTGGGTGTGGTCATTGGTTCCTGTGGTACATTGTTTGCAATTCGTAGAGGAGGAGAAAGAGGAGAGAGGAAGAAGAAGAAGAGAGAGGAGCTTGTAGCAGCCATCTATGAGGAGCCAGTTCATTCAGTGGAGACTGCCATTCCTCTCTCTGAGAACCAGGCATATGGCCAGGTCTCGTCTCAGAGGTAGTAGAGGAAGGTGGTCAACTGTGTAGAATAACATTACATACCGTGTGTGGTTTCATTTATTGTGTTGTAATAAATCAGCTACTCTTGAATACATTCACTTTTCTAATGGGCTAGCAAATTAGCAATTATATCAGTGGATATATACTTTTGCACTTGCATAGAAGTCTCCTGTATACAACATGATACATGCTACCTAATGACAGCATATGACAGCTACCTCCCTGTGATCCTCAACCTCGCATCATATGTGTCTATATTATGTGCATCATGTAATGCGGTTAATTGGAGGTAAAACAAGTTTCAATCTAATTGCAAGTGCAACACTCAAACGCATGTGGCTGTGCAGTCAGTTATTGTGGGCCATTTTTGAAGACGTGTGAACACATCATCTCGAAGATGATGCGAGCAGTCAATAACCATAAACCAGGCTTCATTGTCAGTGGCTTGGAAGTTGGAAAGATCACCTTCATAACACGCATGCGCATACGTGGGGGCGTTGGCGGGTGGCCCCGCGCACATGCGCAGCAATTGTTTATCGCTGCGTGTCGTCATGGTGTAGTTATTAGTTCGATCTCGATCAGCTAAGTAATGTCCTACTCTAGAGTTCTTCAGCAGCTTTTCTTTGTGCATGCACTTACACGCGGATGCGTGAGCTGCGTGCCGCTGTGGGTTAGCTTCGCACTCTGCGTCTTATTGTGCGGTGAGTCTACCGGTCTTTACTCTGCCGACAAAGAGTATATACTTGCTAGAGCGAGTACACTTCTCTTTACACAGTTGTACCAGGTGGAGCTGGGCAGTTGAAGGTGGTCACTGTGTAGAATAACATTACATACCGTGTGTGGTTTCATTTATTGTGTTGTAATAAATCAGCTACTCTTGAATACATTCACTTTTCTAATGGGCTAGCAAATTAGCAATACTTTTGCACTTGCATAGAAGTCTCCTGTATACAACATGATACATGCTACCTAATGACAGCATATGACAGCTACCTCCCTGTGATCCTCAACCTCGCATCATATGTGTCTATATTATGTGCATCATGTAATGCGGTTAATTGGAGGTAAAACAAGTTTCAATCTAATTGCAAGTGCACACTCAAACGCATGTGGCTGTGCAGTCAGTTATTGTGGGCCATTTTTGAAGACGTGTGGACACATCATCTCGAAGATGATGCGAGCAGTCAATAACCATAAACCAGGCTTCATTGTCAGTGCTTGGAAGTTGGAAAGATCACCTTCATAACACGCATGCGCATACGTGGGGGCGTTGGCAGGTGGCCCGCGCACATGCGCAGCAATTGTTTATCGCTGCGTGTCGTCATGGTGTAGTTATTAGTTCGATCTCGATCAGCTAAGTAATGTCCTACTCTGTTGAGGCCATAATATACCAGTCACAGAAGGGGAATCCCCTCGTATCCTTACAGGCAAATTAGTTTGGATTTGGTCACTGAATGCATGGAGCTGAATACAACGAAATTGCTCTGCTAGATCCTTTTGCTCTGTTTGGCAGGGTCTTAATTGGCACGATATATTTACTATGGTTACACAACAGTCATAAGCCAGAGGAAGTTGCGCACAATCAACATTCCTAAGCTGTCCGCGCATGCGGCTATAATGTAATCAAGTATCATAGCTGCGAAAGGAAGCTGGTGTTCAGGAGGGCCAAGACCTTGCTATCTCTCGATTGTTTATATGTCCAAGTGTGTACCACGGAGAACACTCTTGCAAATGCCAGTGTGCCGTTCTGCAGAAAGTGCTGACTCAGCGGGTTGACTGGGTTGCATGGGCAGGCATGCAAATCTAAGGCGCACGTGATGCAAGCGATGACATGTGCACAACCTCCTCTGGTCATAAGCGATTGACATTAAAGGGGGTGTGTCATAACATAGGGCTAAATGTTACTAAAGATGGTGCTAAACAAAAGGGCCCAGAGGAATAATTTCCACTTAGTATCTAAATTTAGCCCTTAAATATTTCCACATTAATGAGGAGTACTTTAACCCTCACCACTTAAACTTTGACTTGCACTCATCTGACGTAAGCAAATAGTGCAGGGCACAGTATTCATTAGAGTGTAATTTATTCATATTCCCAATAGAATTCCACCCCTCTATCTGCACAGAGCAACCAGCTCCACCAGAACAACTGCATCAGGATGATTCAGCCAAAATTGAGACATCAGCAGTGGTGCAGTGGAAGTCTCCAGCCATGACTGGAGGCAGTGGAGTGACTATCAGTGAATATATAGTGACTGTTGATGGCAATATGTACCAGACTATCCGCTATTATGGTGGAGATGTCTTAGCTACCATCATAACTGGAGTGGCCAACAAACATACGGTTTCAGTGAAATCCAAGAACTCTTGTGGTCTCTCCAGCCAGCCTGCCACCACCACTGTCTTCAAATTACTCCCAGATCAACCTGCACCGTCTCATCCTCTCTTGTACTGTATTGGTTCGAAAAATAAAGGTGCCAGCTGGAAGGTAGACTTGCATCTGAAATAATTATATGTAGTTTAATAGTTTTATGGTCAGGTCGATGTGGGAGTGGTTTATCCCAGAGACGCACATGTGGATATGAAGCCGACAGTGGTAAATGGCAGCTGCTCTAAGAATGGTCCTGTCTCTGAATGTGAGTGCAGTTTAGCAAGCAATATGTAATCTCTGTTTGCACTCCCTCTCAGTAATCCCACAGAAAGAGGAACAAGTAAATCCTGTAGCATTCTGCTACTTCACAGTTGCTGGGGTTGAAGATGGTAAGGATGATTAATGCTGAAGTTGCATCATTTTGTTCATATTTAGAATTAGATCCCCAAACTCCATATACCTGTGGCAATGGAAGAGAAGATGGCACTCTATCAAGAGGAGTAGTTGCTACCATAATATCTT